CCTCTAGCATTGTTGATTGGTTTGGCCTGTCTATGAACATCTTATAAATGGGATCCAACAGCATTTACTCTTTTGTGTCTGGCTTCTTTCACTCAACTTGATGGCTGTAAGTTGCGCCCATGTTACTGAGGTCTCAATAGTTTGTTCTTTTACATTGCTACATTGTATTTTGTTGTGGGACTATACCACAATTTATCTGTCCTTATCCTGCTGATGGGGATGTTCCGTTTCAGCGCATTCATTCACAATTCCCAGAGAGTCTGGGTATGAAGGCCCCTCAGGCCCCCAGCAGTGTCTTTGTGCAGCAAGATCCTTCCCTTGAAACCCCACCGGACTTGCTGTGTGAGGAGAATTGTCCACAAGATGAGGCAGTTGGTTCCTTGCCTGAGAAAGTGGGGATCTAAGATACAAATTGATGAGCTCTGTGGAGCCCATGGAGCTGGGCGTCTGAAATCCCAGAGACTGTGCAACCAGGGCCTTCAGGTCCCTCCCCGCTGTCCCCTCCGTCTCCCCGTGGCTCACCAGTCCACTGTAACCTCGGCCAAGGCCAGCCTTGCCAGCCCCCACTCAAGTTTCTTCTGCAGTTAACTGCAGAGAGGGCCCCATCAAATATCAGGCCAGTGACCAGGAACAACAAAAGCAGGAAAAGCCCCAGGGACGGGATTCTGAGCAGCTGACACGGGGCTTTAACCTCCTCACCCTGCCATTGTGAGGACAGCCGGCATGCCCTGTCCTCAGCTCCGGCCTGCAGCTCCAGGCGCTTTATGAGACCTGCCCAGGGAGCAGGAGCCCCAGACAAAGGCCAGCGTTCTGTTGAGCTTATTGAAAGGAGAAAGAGCCCATTGATATGCGTGGGAGTCTCTCTGCCGCCCTTCCCTCCCTCCCTTGCCTGGAGCGGAGGTCAGCTGAGCACAGGGCAGGCTTCGGGCAGGGCTGGACCAACTCGGAGACAGCTTGCACTGAGCCCTTCCAGATCCACTTTCCTGGAGCGCTGGGTTTGACTTGTGGCCCCCCCAACCTCCCCCCCGCCCACACACAGGTTGGCTGTGAGGGGACAAGTGGCAGAGTCCTGGCACTTCATTATCAACAAATGAAGTTTCCTACGCCTGTCTCAGGCAGTGGGACCCACCTCTACCAGACCCCTTGGAGCCCTGTACCAACTCCTGGTTGCTGACACCCTTCAAAGAGCCCCCATTCAAGTTTGGCCTTGGGTCCAGCCTTGAACTTGCTGTTCCTTCAGCTGGGAATGCCTTTCCCCTGCTCTTTGCTCATCTGCCTCTCCCCATCATTCACATCTCAACTCACATGGCACCGCCTCCGAGAAGCCTTCTATGACCACCCTAGCTCAAGCAGTACCTCCAGAACACATCGCCCTGTTTTATTTTCTCCATAGTGTTGAGAGGTTATCTACTTGTTTGTTTATATGATTATGAGCTGTCTCCCCCATTTGGTATGTAAATTTGCTATGGAGTGAATGTTTGTGTCCCCCCCAAAATCCGTATGTTGAAGCCCTAACCCCGCAATGTGATGGTATTTGGAGGTGGGGCATTTGGGAGGTGATTAGCTCATGATAGTGGAGCCCTCACGATGGGATTAGTGGCCTTATAAGAAGGGACACCAGAGAGGTCTCTTGCCATGTGAGGAGACAGCAAGAAGACAACCATCTGCAAGCCAGGAAGAGAGCTCTCACCAGAAACCGAATTGTCTGGAACCTTGATCTTGGACTTCCCAGGCTCCAGAACTTGGAAGAATAAATGTCTATTGTTTAAGCCACCCGTCAGTGGTATTTTGTTATAGCAGCCTGAATTACCTAATACAAAACTCCATGAGACCATATCCATCTTGCTCACCAGGGTATCCCTTGGCCCTCCAACAGGGCCTGGCACAGGGTCAGATAGTCCAGCAGCTCTATTGCTGTGTAACAAATCACCCCTAAACTTAGCAACTTAAAACAGCATCAATTTTTTTTTTTTTTAATCCTTCAAGGTTTCTGTGTGTTATGAATTCAGACAAGGCACAGCAAGAGCAGCTTGTCTCTGCTCTAGGATGGGATCTCTGTTGGGAAGACTCAAACGCTGGTGCTGGAATTTTCTGAAGGCCTGTGCTCTCACCTGTCTAGTGGTTGATGCTGGCTGTTGGCTGGGACCCCAGCTAGACTGCCAGATAGAACACCTTACCTACACATGGCCTCTCCAGGAGCTCTCTCCACGTAGGCTAGTTGGGCTGCCTCACAGCATGGCTGCTGAGTTCCAAGTGTGAACATCCCAAGAGGGGTAGGCAAAAATGGTGTCACCCTTTAAGACCTAGGCTTGGAAATTAAATAGTGTTGCATCTGCTATAGTCACACACCCACTCAGATTCAAGGGGAAAGAACATAGACCCCACCTCTTGATGGGAGAAGTCTCAACATCACCTTATAAGAAGAGCATGTGGGTTGGGATATGTTGTGGTGGCCATCTTTGGGAAACAATCTGCCCTGTTACTTAGGAAATATTTGCTGATTGAATGACTGCTTTATGCTCTCAACTTCTTTCTCCACCTTCCTGCTTTCCCACTTACCAACTATATGACTTGGAAAAACTTACTGTATCTGTCAGCGTTCTTCAGTGAAATTGAACCAACAGGATATAAAGAGATTTATTTTAAGGAATTGATGTACTCAGTTGTGGGGGCTGGCAAGTCTGAAATTTGTAGGGCAGGCAGGAAACTCAGGCAAGAACTGATGTTGCAGTGTTGAGTCTGAAAGTCATAGGGCAGGCCAACAGACTGGAAACCCAGACAGGAGCTGATGTTGCAGTCTTGACTCTGAAGTCTGTAGGACAGGCTGGCAGGCTGGCAGCTCAGGCAGGATCTCTGTGTTACAGTCTTAAGGCTGAATTCCTTCTTCTTTGGGAAACCTCAGTCTTGTAGTTAAGGCCTTCAACTCATTGGATGAGACCCACCCATGTTATCGAGGGTAATCTAGTTTGCTTAATGTCAACTGACTGTAGATGTTGACTACATCTACAAAATACCTTTATAGCAACATCTAGAATAGTGTTTGACTAAACCACTGGGTACCATAGTCTAGCCAAGTTGACACATAAAATTTAACCATTATACTTACCCTCTTTGAACCAGCTTTTTCCCCTTTGAAATGAAGATAAAAGTCCCTTACAAGGCTGCTGGGAGGAGAAAATGAGAATTGCTGTGTGGTAGGCAGCCTCCACAATGGCTCCCACTATCTCCCTTGTGTAATCTCCTCCCCTTGAGTGTGGGTTGGACCTGTCGAGTCTTTTTAAAGAACAGGAACAGAATATGCCAGAAATGATGGGATGTCACTTCTGAGATCAGGCTAGAGAAAGACTTGGTTTCCATCTTGCCCACCCTCTCTCCCTCTCTTGCTCAAATCACTCAGAGGGAAGCCAGCGGCTATGTTGTGAGCTGCCTATGGGGAGGCCCATGTGGTGAGGAACTGATGTCCCCAGCCAACAGCCAGAAACGACCTGAGGCTACCAACAGCCACAGGAGCGAGCTTGGAAGTGGATTCTTCCCCCAGGAGAGCCTGTGGCTCTGCTCGACACTTGACTGCAGCCTCACGAGAGACCCTGAACTAGAGGTACCCACTGAAGCCATACCTGGATATTCCTGACTGGCAAAAACTGTGAGATGATAAATGTGTGTTGTTTTAAGCCTTTAAGTTTTGGGGTAATTTGTTACAGAGCAATAGATGACTAACATACCATAGGGGTGGTAAGGGACTAGCACAGTCCCTGGCATACAGTAGGTGCACAATAAATGTGATTAGAATCAGATTCTAACTGAGCTATGGCTTTATGTGAAACTGCTCTCAGAGATTTGCATTTTCAAGGAAGACTCCATCCCAAAGGCATGGAATTTTCCAGCAAAGTAATGGGAGGGAGGGTACTTCTGAGACCACTTGAGATCACACTACACAGGTGGCTGTCAGTTTGATTCCAGGTAAGGCAAAGAGGTGGTCCTTCTCTCCTTGAGAGAGGGACTACTAGCTGAGGATGTCCCTGATAAGGGGCCCCAGCAACTTCCTCAGGAAAAGGATCTATAATGACAACAACAAATACCTATAGAGAGGGCACTAGAGATACGGTGGGAGGAAAAACCCAGTGTCCTGACTTCAGAGCATTTACAGGTCAGCGAAGAGGCTAGTAAATAATTACACCAGTGCAAACATAATTATAAGCTGACACCAGCACTCTGCAGGAAAGGAATTTGTAAACCAGGAAATTGACCTAGACTAGAGGGGTCAGGAGAATTTCTTGGAGGAAGGGGTATACAAGCTGAGATATAAGGACAAATGGGTATTAACTGATGAAGAAAGAAGGGAAAAGCGTCACAGACAGAGGAAACAGCGTGTGCAAATGCCCTGTGATGGGAGGTAACATAGCATATTTAAGAACTGATAGAAGATTGGTGTGTGGCCAGAAGACAGACAGCAAGGGGGACAGGGTGAGAGAGAGGCTGGGGTGGTCAGCAGGGGCCAGATCGTGCTGGCCTTGTAGTAAGTCATAGGTCGTGGTGAGGGCTTGGATCTTTATTGGGAAACAATGGGAAGCCATTGGAGAGTTTTAGTGCGGATGCGATGTAATCAGATTTGTGTTGTTAAACGATCTCTCTGGATCGTTTATAGTCTCTCCATGTATAGACTATATTAGTTGTTGGGGGAGGTAGAGTTGGGTACTGCAGTATTCCCAGTGAATGGTGCGCTCAGCTTGGACCAGAGTGGAAGCCATGGAGGCGATAAGATGGGAGGCATCGAGCTGTTGCAGACCATCACCTTCCTCCCAGTGGAGACAAAAGCTCCAAAGCATGATGTAATGGAGGGAACATAAAACAGATCTTTGTTCAAGTTCTGGCCGTGCTTCTTACCAGCTGCGTGACCTCCGGCAAGTTTCTAAACCTCTCTGTATTTCAACATCCTCATATGTAAAGTAAGCATAACAAGGCCTACCTAGCTGGGTTGTAGTGCAGATTAAATGAGATACGCCTGGAAGGTACCTGGCATAGAGTAGGGCAGTGTGCTGAGGCACCCCGTGTCCTGTCAACCCTCATAGACATGTGATGAAATTCTAATCAAGGCAGACAATTTAGTTTTTGCTACAACTGACTTAATGTGTATTTGCTGTACCCAATTCTGCTGTAGAAGACAAGAAAACAAGTGGGATGGATGAAATTTGTCATTGATAAGTCAGTTAGTAACCTGGGAGAAATGTTAGACAGATAAGGTGGAGCATATGGGAGAACATAGATAGAAAGAGGAGGAAGGAGCAAGAGATTCCTAATATTCATGAGATACTAAATATACAAGAGACACAAAATATTCATGAGGCACTAAATATATTTAAGGCACCTGAGACACTAAATATTCATAATAAACTAAATATACATGAGGCGTACAAGGCACTCAATATTCAGCCACCCATTGGTAAGACTCATTCTGGCCCCATGTGTCCTCTGCCCAAGAAATGCAAATAACCTCCATGGCTGCTCCTCAGGTTAATGGAGAAGTGCAGTCGCGGCCAGGTGTGCTATCTCTCCATCTCTCAATAGAGCAGGCGCGCCATTGGCCCCAGGCACCTTCCAGACTTCTGTGCACCTCAAACCTCAACTGTGGTCTTGTAACCTCACCATCAGCGGGGAAGGCTGACGGAGGCAGCCCAGAGAGACAGAGCATTGCCCACCCCCAGGATTCAGGCAGCGCAGTCCTTCCACCCACTTGTATCCTGTCCTTAGTGAGTGAACCTGCCCATCTCTCTCTCTCTTTGCTTCTCACTGTGTGTTTCCAGTTGCTTTGCTACATGGTGTGATTCGAAATCTTTACCTTGGTTTGTGAGCCTTTCTTTCCTGTGATCTCCAGGATGTACACCTGAAGTGTACTCAGAGGCCACTGTTGCATGGAGATGAGTTCTCATGTGACAACTGAGTAATGATAGAGAATGGAGCTCTCCTGGCGCCATGTCAGATGGAACATTGTTCTGAGCAGGTCAGGCATTGAGGTTAGAAGCCTGGGAAAGAGGTGTGGCGTGCATTGAGCCAGCTCGAAGGAAATCATGATTATCTGGAATGGGTGAGCACTTACCACGCAAACAGTGCAGAGTTGAAGAGAGATAGCTGTGGGTGCCTGTAAAGATGCCGAAAAACTGGAGGAGGGAATTACTTGTGCCCACTGTTGACTTGTTTAGTCTCGTATGAGATTTCTAATCCCTTCAAGTATATTAACAAGAATTTCCAAATTGGAAAATGAACCCAAAACACTAAGAAGTTAAGAACCACTGTGGTGAGTGCTAGGCTCTGCTGCAGTAATAAATGGTCCCCTAAGTTCTCAGTGACTTATCACAACAAAGATGTATTTATCGCACACACGCAATATGCCCACTTGGGGTTGGCTGAGGGTTCTGCTTTACTTGGCCCTCACTCCAGGTCACAGGTTGATGGGCTGCTGTTTAGAATATTGCCATTCATTGTGGCAGACGGAAAGCAGGCTCATTTCCTGCTCATAACTCATTGGTCATGTAACCGAGCAAAAGGGGACTTGTTCTGCTCACCACACTCCAGTGCCAATCAATTGCAAACAAGCTGGTGGTTGAGAAAGGAAAATTTATACGATTAGCCAGCATAATCAGAAGATGGTAGACTAGTGTCCTGAAGAACCATTTTAAAGCCATACAGAATCTTGAGGCAGTTATATAGGGGAAATGGGCAGGGAAGGAGGGGGTTTAGGGATGTCCATCATCCGGTGTGACGAACTTCAAGGCGCCTCGTTATCTCTTTCTTCTGTCATTTGTGATGGGTACCAACACAGAGTTCTTCTTTTTGGAGGTCTTCATGTTCCTGGGAAACTCAGAGAACAAAGTTATTGTCTTAACACAGCTGGGAGATATATATAAGCAAGAATCACAGAACTAGCAGATCATTTATTTTGCAAAAGCGAGAGGTGCTTAATCATCTAGGCTACATGCAGGCGAGAGTGCATTCTCAGAGACTAGTGAGTCAGGGTCGTAATTACAATATTGCTTCCTTTCCCTAAGATGGCTTCCCTCATGCTAACTTAAGATCTAGCTGTTACAGTCACAGCTGGTCACACGGCCCCACTCTTCCACAGCGGCCAAGAAGCACAGTTCCTCCATGTGCCTAGAAGGTGGAGAGCCAGAAACAGTTAGTGGACATCTCTGGTTTGACTTCTAGAGCGCTGTCACTTGTCTGTGCAAAAACTCAAGACACAGGAGACTTTGGGGATGAGGGTGTCCAGACTGAGCTATAAGATCCAGACCCCCAAGACCACCTTCAGAAGACCCTCTGAGGTTTTCTAACACCACAAACATCCCCAGCAGACTTACATCAATGGAGAAGGTGGCTGATGACCAACCATCAGGAAAGGCAGGGTCTCTGTCTTTGGGAGGAGACACATCAGAGTGACATGTGCAGTGGCCAGAGGGGAAGGAAGGGTCTGGAAAGAAATGTGATGAATCAGGATATCAAGGCAGCCGTGTAAACTTGGCATGACCTTTCCAATTTAACTCAGTAATAGGTAAACACCTTTGGCTTTTAAAATAGCATTTACTTAAGTAGCCCTGTTAATTAGTATTAATTAGCAGCTAGTAGTTTCTGTTGTCTTCTTATTGGTGGTTTGCAAGTCAAGAAGTTTAGGTGGAAAGTGGGGTAAAGGTAAAGGTGAGAGGAGAGAGGGGCTTCTAATTTTCTAGACTGAGCAATTAGTAATTATTCACTTGAAAGCTGGGGTGCTTTCAAGGTTGAAAAATTCCCCTGAGCAGTCACCCCTGGCTGGATCTGCCCCCTACTATGCTTGACACAAACACAAAGCCAGGTTTCTTTCACAGGTGCCTTCTGCAGCTTTAGGCCAACAGCACTTTCTCTCCAACCCTCTCTGAGTCCTGGACCAATGATACCTTATAAACCCCTTTCAGAGGCATTGCCCACTTGCCTGAGCCTGTTCTAGCATGTTCTCTTTCATCTATGGCCTTGCTAAAGAACCTTGTCAAGGCAAAAGTTGCCAGATCTTTGGGAGTGTCCTAGGTTTCTGGCCCCTGGGGAGAGGAAGAGTGCCAACTTGGAGAGCTGGCTCCAGTCGGATGGAAGGGGAGAGAGTTGGTTTCTAGAAGGTCACGGAAATGTTAGCCCCTGAGCTTTGGAATCACGGAGACTTGGGTCTGAGTTCCAGCTCCTCTGCTTGCTGTGTGACCTTGGGCTCATTACATGTAACCCCTCTGAGTCTGTTTTCTCACACTGCTAATAAGAGAAACTTTTTCGGGCCAGCCCCGTGGCTTAGCGGTTAAGTGCGTGCGCTTCACTGCCGGCGGCCCGGGTTCGGATCCTGGGCGCGCACAGGGGCACCGCTCCTCCGGCCATGCTGGGGCCGTGTCCCACATACAGCAACTAGAAGGATGTGCAGCTATGACATACAACCATCTACTGGGGCTTTGGGGGGGAAAAATAAATAAATAAAATCTTTAAAAAAAAAAAAAAAAAAAAAAGAGAAACCTTTTCGTATAGTGTTATTGCGAGAGTAAATGAAATCATGTATGCTAACCGCTTAGCGCTTGGCCTACCCTATAGGAAGTGCTCATTAAATGGCATCTATTATTATAAACAAATAGTAGAGTAATTAGATAAAAGTTAAACCCTAATGAGGTCTTCAGCACAAACCTAAATTTGAAGCTAGACCCTCAGCATCTGCCACCTCAGTCTCCCCTGGTCTCCTAGAATCCAGCTGGCTGTGATAGACAATATCTAGCTTCCCATGAGAGCCTGGAACCAGCAGATAGTCTGCCACCAATGTCTTAAACAACCCCGTGGGCTGTGGAAAGATCTTGAAAAGAGGCTGTTAGTTTCTCCTGGTAATGTTTCTAGACCTAGGAGGGTTTTCGGGCTTCAGCTTATTCTAGACCCGTGTGCTAGGAGGACCTGGCAGTCCCCAATTGGCCCTTTGCCTTACGTACCAAATCATCTGGGGATTTTCTCTCATGGCATTTGCTATTTGTACCAGTTAAGGTGAAGTTCAATTGCGAGTAATAATGACCCAAAGTCACAGTGGCCTAAACAAGATAGTTTATTTCTTTTATACACAAAAGTCCAAAAGAATGAAGCCCAGGACTGGTATGATGGCCCTGTTCCATCTAGTCCTCTGAGATCCAGGTTCCTACCTTGTCACTCAACTGTGCATGGTCTCCATTCCCAAGGTCACCTTTTGGTCCAAGGTAGCTGCTGCAGCTCCAGCTCTTATGTCCACATCCCAGCCAGCAGAATGGACGACAAGTAGGAAAACGGGCAAAGGACAAATATCAGCTATCTTTGAAGGAAGGCTCCCAGAAATTTGTCATGTGACTTTCCCCCTTACATCTCAGTTTAGTCAAGTGGCTGCACCTGACTGCAAGGTGGCATGGAGGAGAGATGGTTGATCTGCAAGAGGAGGAAAAATGAAGAGGACACGCATAGAAGTAGGAGGTGAGAGGTGTGTCTGCATCCATTCAGAAAGTCTCATTTGGGGCTTAAGTTAGCTAGAGTTGGTTTGTAACTTGTAGCCAAAACAACAAGTAAGATAATCATTATCAAGATTTTTTCCCTAACCCTGCACTAATGGAGTTGCCCACGTCAATGCCTAAGAATCAGGTGGAGGTGGTTGTTTAAAATATTAATTTTTTGATCCTATACCCCAGAAATTCCAAATCCTTGAGTCTGGGGTGGGGCCAGGACTTGCATTTTTAGCAACCTCCCCCCACCCCCATTCTGTTGTGGGAATTCCAAAGACTACAGTTTGAGCAATACTGGCTTACAGTCGATTCAGAGGTGTATGAGCTACTATTGCTGTGTAACAAACAGCCCCAAACTTACTGGCTTAGAGCAACAACCACTTTATTTTGCTCATAGATTCTGCAGGTCAGGAATTTGGAAATGTTCTAACAGGGATGGCTTGTCTCTGCTCCATAATGTCTGGGGCCTCAACTGGAAAGACTCGAAAGCTGGGACTGTCTCAAAGGCTGAGGGCTGGAATCATCTGGAGACTCCTGCAGTCACATGTTTGGAGGTTGATGCTGGCTGTTGGCTGGGACCTCAGCAGGGGCTATCATCTGGAGCACCTACATGTGGGTCTGACCGTGTGTCTTGGGCTTCCTCACAGCATGCTCACTGGGTTCTAAGAATGAGAGCCCCAACAGAGGACCACGAGGAAACTCGATGGCCTTTAACGACCTAGCCTCAGAAGTCAGACAGTGTCACTTGTGCTGTAGTCATAGCCCACCAGATTCAAGGGGGAGGGGACATAGGCGCTGCTCTCCCTTACACGCTAGAAGGGCATACGGGATGAATGAGAGCTCTTCTTGCAGCAGTCTTTGGAAAATATCTTCCACGAGGGTGAAGGCTGGGCATCTGCAGAGGGACCTTAGGAAATGCCAGGTGGTCAGGCTTCTGGTCCCCACCCTGCCACAACTAAATGCTCCCTCTTCCTATCTGTTTTATGTGATGGCCTTGCTCACCAGCCAAGAGTCTGCCTTTCCCAGTCCTGACCTGGAGCCTGAGGCTAGGGGAATGGGGCCAGCTTTTTACGTACGGCTCCATCTCCTCTTCAGGCCTCCGGAAGGCGCCTGCGGTGTATTGGTCTTGCGGTCCCCTTGGCCCTGCAGAATCCTGTGTGGGAGCTTCAGGAGGGAGCTGATCCAGGCGTGGAGGAAACCTCTGCCAGGATTCCATGTGGGCTGTGCCGAAGAACTCCACTCAGGATTTAAAAAATCATCTGTCACGTGGCTCTTTTGCCAGCTTAGAATAATTGTTAAGTTTTTTCTCCCTAAACTGCGTGGAAGGTACAGAATTCTTTTCTTTTCTTTCTTTCTTTTTTTTTTTTTTTTTTTTGTGAGGAAGATCAGCCCTGACCTAACATCTGCCAATCCTCCTCTTTTTGCTGAGGAAGACTGGCCCTGGGCTAACATCTGTGCCCATCTTCCTCCACTTTATATGGGACGCTGCCACAGCATGGCTTGACAAGCAGTGTGTCGCTGGGCGCCCAGGATCCGAACCGGCGAACCCCGGGCCGCCGCAGCGGAGCGCGCACACTTAACCACTTGTGCCACCGGGCCGGCCCCTTCTTTTCTTTTTAATATCAATTTTAACAGTGTCCTGGGATGTGATCCTTCACAAAGGGAATACACCCGTGAGATGACGGTGCCGGATTCCTGGGGACTCTGTCCACTCTGGCTGAGAATGGGACCTCAGACATGCAGCATTTTGAGGGCACAGATCCAGCTGCTGCTTGGCTGGTTTCCTACCCAGGTTCATGCTGGCAGGCTTGGCAAAGCCCTGTTGAACTGAAAGATGCTCCCCCCCACCCCATACTAGCCAAACTCCCCTTGATCTACTGGGCCATTCCTTTGGTTAAAATCACAGAGTAACCTCGGACTAACCTCAGAGAACTTCATCTGACCATCTCCCCTTCCAGAAGAGGGAACAGAGGCCAGAAAGCCAAAGTGACCTGTCTAAAGCCATGTAGCTGGCCAAACCTCAAATCCTGAACAATTTCTGACCCCTCCTAGGGCTCTTTTATGAAGGGGACCCCGAAAGGAGGGCACTTCTCCTTTCTTGTTAACTATTAAAATGCCTCTCTCTCCCTTCCCTTTTTCTAAGCACTTCCTCCCTTCCCTCTGTGCACTACCCTCTGCATTTGCTGTTCCCCTCAACAGATGGAACACACGTTTATTTGAGCTGATGTGTGCATTAAACTCTCTCTGGAAAAAACTTGCTGCTGGTGGCTGTCGTGGTTCAAGCTGTCATTCAAATAACACACGATGCTTAGATCTGGGCTTT